AATGTTATTCAACCTCTAAAAGGAAGGAAATTCTGATACATGCTACAATATGGATGATCCTCTAAGATACTGTGCTAAGTGAAATAATTCAAGGACAAAAGCACACACATTGAATGATTCTACTTATTTGAGATTCTTCAGTACTCAACTATAGAGAATAGAAAGCAGAATGGTGGCCAATAGAGGTTATGTGTGAGGGGAATGAAGTGCTGTTATTTAATGGGCATAGGGTTTCAGTTTGGAATGAGGAAAACCCTGAAATGGACTGTAGTGATGGTTGCACAGCAGTATGAATGAACTTAATGCCTCTTAACTGTACATTTAAAAATGGTTAACCTCAGGCAGGAGAGATGGCTCAGTGGTTAAGAACACTGACTGTTCTTGCAGAAGACCCAGGTTCAAATCCCAGCACCCACATGGCAACTAACAGCTGTCTATAACTCCAGTTCCAGGGGATCCAAGACAGCCTCTTCTGTCTTCCACAGGCATTGCACAACACAGGTGCACTTACCTACATGCATACACATAAAATAAAAATAATAGATAAAACAGGTCAACCTCATAAACTTTAGGTAGTGCATCTATGACTTCAGGCAGTCCTATTATTTTCTCTATGTTCCATTTTCCTTATCTAGAAATAGAGATAATAATAAAGCATGCTTTATCAAACATGAACCTTCACACATTTCCTGTCCTTCAACATCTCCCAATGCTCCTGCACACATCCACACCACAAATTGGGTGTGTGGCACTTGCCTGTAATTCCGGCACTCAGGAGTTGGAGTCAGGAGGACTAAGAGTTCCAGGCAAGCCTGGGGTATATAGTAGATCCTGTGTCTCCCAGAAAAACATCACAAACAAATGACAGGCAACAACAAATCAAAAAAGAAAATGAGAAAGTGTATACACACACACACATATGAAATGGTTTTGCATGTAGTGAATGGTTATAGAGAGAAAATAATAGTAGTATTTTGAATTTATGAGGCACTTACTGTACTTATTTAAGGGATTTCTAACATATGAATTTATATTCTCACAAGATGTGTTTGTCTAGGTACTTCAAAAATCTGCAGGGTCTAGAGAGAGAGTTCATTGGTTTGGAGTGCTTAATGCTCTTGCAAAGTACTTGGGTTCAGTTCCTAGAACCCACATCACAACTACCTGTAACTCCAGTTTCAGGGGACCTGACTTCTTCCTGCATGCATGTGGTGCACATAAACTCATGCAGGGCCACACACATATACATAAATAAATTAGTCAATTAAAAATATTAAAATCTGTATTTGATGCTCAGGGAAGGAAAGCAGCTTGCTGGAGCCAGCTCACAGGAGGTGGTGGATTTCAACCTAGGAGGTCTAATTCTGGAGCCCTGTGGTTGCCTGCTGTGGCTGCTCTCCTCCGGTGATGGTTGCTCTCCTGCTCTCCCAGCTCCTCCTATCAGTCGTCTGGGCCGGACCCCAGGGCTGGTGAGGAGCCTGCGCCAGCATCGCTGCATTCAGACGAAGGAGTCCAGGTTCAGTGACACAGATCTGCTTTATTGCAGGAAAGCACGGGCTTATATAGGGGTAATAGTCCAATCATAACACAGCATATGGAATCCCTTATTAGCTGCTCTCCTGCTCTCCCAGCTCCTCCTATCAGTCGTCTGGGCCGGACCCCAGGGCTGGTGAGGAGCCTGCGCCAGCATCGCTGCATTCAGACGAAGGAGTCCAGGTTCAGTGACACAGATCTGCTTTATTGCAGGAAAGCACGGGCTTATATAGGGGTAATAGTCCAATCATAACACAGCATATGGAATCCCTTATTAGCATGGCAGACTATTATCCTATTACAATCTAGCAGGCCAGATGCCCTATTAGCATGACAAGTTTCAGTTTTTCTAAGTTTCGGATTCCTGGAAACCATGTGACTTACATAGTTTTCTCTCTGATAAGAAACAGGAAGCACTGCATTCCAGCATGATAGGTATGGAAGGCAAAAAGCAAAATCAGTCACCAGATTTTCCACAACATCTCCCCCTATTTTTTTCATTTTTAAGAGTGAGGCACAGTTCAGAATATATAGCATACTGATATCAGTCCAGGGGCTGTATGTGGTAGATTTTTCTGTTGTGCATCAAGACAAGGTAGAATGGCTTTGGAGGCAAAGGATTGATCCTTTATTGTGGGCCCCATCCTTCAAGATGGTGAGTTCTCTCAAGAGCAGGCTGGGCCAACTCCATGCCAACCAGTGGGAGTCGAGGTTCTTTGCCTCAGCATTGTTATCCCCACCTCAAGGGTCACCCAGCATTATGGACTGTGCCTGTCTTAGGCTGTCCCATCTTTTGGGATCTTACCCATCATGACTACCAGCCCTTGAAGGGTGAGTCCCTTGGTATGGTCCGGCAGAGGGAGAGGCAGTGTATCAATCTTTGGCCCGTGCAAAGGCCCCTTAAGGGGCTAAGAATTCAATGAAAGCTAATGGAGCAGGATCACCCCATCTGGGTAATGATGGGGGTTAGGGAGTGGCAAGTTCTAGGCATTGGTCTCACAGTCTGCCAACAGGAGTATATATCACAAGGCCTGTGGCTCTGGCAGTCAGGCCGTTGTCTCAGATCCCTTGCATGGTTGTTCCATAAGACTTTATACCTATGCTCAAGCCTATTTTTCATATCTCTATTATTATAGGTTGGTAAGGGCAAGGAACAGCGGGTCCTTGTTTGCAGGGTCATGCCTGGCAAAATCTGGAGGCAGGGCAACAGCTAACTGAACCAGAGAAATATGAGTTTTAACAAAATTATCAAGACCCTTAACAATGCAGGGTCCAAAAATCAGGAGTTAGCAGTAATGATGGCACACATAATAAGGAACATAGACAGGGGGTTTCCTCTGGTTTGAGGGTTTGATTAGCTATAGTCTCCATTGGCTAAGTGAGATACTTAAGGTTGCCCCAGGTTATCAGGTGTGCCGTTGGAGCCTGTCGCTTTTGAGGTCTGTGACGCTGGGTCGATCTCTTGGTGATTGAGAGGTGTGCTGCTTCCTCCAGGGTCAGGGCTGCCACCTCCAGGGTCAGTGGTTGTGGAGGGAGGTTTTCTGTCTCAGGCAATTCTGATGTTCTGGGCTGGGATCCAGATGGGGGCTGGAAGATTATCTGGAAAGACACAAGCATAGCCTTGCCCTTGTGTTAATAATAAGTGTGGACCTTTCCATTCACTTGTGAGAGGGTCCTTCCATCTCACCATGGGAGCAGGAGTGGGCTGAGTGAACGCCCCCCAATGCTTTATTGCTGGTGGGAGGCCATTGGAGTCAAATTTTAGAAAGTTTAATACAAATAGAGCTCGTT